GGGGGGGGTGGGGGGGGGGTGTGTGTGTGGTGGATCCAGGTCAGAGGAGAACCTGCAGAACCGACTGCGGATTTTCACTGGTTCTCACAGAACACACACCTCTGGACTGGTTCTTGGTTTCATAAACATCGGAACGGAATCTGATCGTTAACATTCTAAAGGCTAACGAATTCTGACCGTCAACATATTCTGATGGTTAACGTTGTGATCGTTAAACATTCTAACGTATTCTGACGGAGTGGTTAATGGTCTGTGTGCAAACAGATCTCTTCTTGATCACCAACACACATTCATACAGAGACACTGTTTTTCAGCTGGAAACTAAATCCTGTTACTTTTCTTTGATTCAAAACACAAACACATGTTGTAACATCACATTTTTTTACCGCATTGATAAAACCATGGTTACGTAGAGTGAACTGTCGTGACATTTTTGGATTAGCTTGATGTCGACTATGTCGGTGTGGACGTTGCGTGATCTATAGCAAACATGAAGCATTTTCCCGTTACCATGGTTACAGTCGAGAGACCTTTAAGATTATCAGTTTTGAAATGAGATGAAACAGAAGAACGTCAGAGTGAATCAAGTTTTATTGATAGAAGATGATTAATTGTTAGCAATAAAGTTTCTATTGATCAGATAACGAAAGGTGAAAAAGTGCTCTGTGTACCAGAGTACAGGTTTGTCTCCTGAGGACAATAAAATCCCGAAGTTTATGACGTGATGAGAGAATGTGATCAGTATGGACAGACTTTGTAGAATGTGATTTCTATTTTTTATACATAGTTAAACTTGTTCCTGTCTCGTCCTCCAGGTTCTCGTGAGGTGAACAAACTCCTTCCTGTCCCTCTTTCTTCTCTTCACCTGAGCCGACTGAGAGAGCGACCCCTGCAGGCAACACATCCAAATGAGCCAGCCGTCGCAGGCGAAACTAACCACATCTGATCACAACGGCGTGAGCGTCATCCAGAGTCAGACCCACGCCTCCTCGACTCTGCCGGCGGCTGTAGCCGTACTGCAACAGGTCCCCCAGCTCGTCCCCGCCAACTCTTCAGCCGGAGGCGGTAAGGCCCCACCCCCCAGCAAGATGAAGAAGCCCCAAGCAGACAAGGACAGCGATGAGTATCGCCAGCGCCGCGAACGCAACAACCTGGCCGTGAAGAAGAGCCGCATGCGCAGCAAGCAGAAGGCGATGGACACGCAGCAGCGCGTCAATGAGCTGAAGGAGGAGAACGAGCGGCTGGAGGCCAAGATCAAACTGCTGAGCAAAGAGCTGAGCGTGCTCAAAGACCTCTTCCTGGAGCACGCCCACAACCTGGCCGACAACGTGCAGCCGCCAGCGGGCGCAGACGGCTCCAGCCCCGCCCCCAACAACACCTCCACCAATGGGCAGTGAGGAGGATCACAGGGATGTTTGATATCTGCAGCTTTTTCTGGGAACTTTGGAAACATGGCCGCACGTCTTCTTCACTGCTTGTCTTCATTAGAAATGAACTCGTGTTTAACGCTCTCACCCCTCCCCCTCTGCCTTCACCCTTTAACCACACATCTTCCAAAATGTTCGTCTCTTACAATCCAGCTGGAAAAATATTTTCCAGCTGAAGAAGTGATGAGAAATAATGAGGTTTCAGGAGCAAACAGTTATAAATATTTTAACATTAATTTATTGGACTCTTGACTAAAAGGCTTTTATTATGAAAGGCAGCAAACAGCTTGTGTTGATTGGACATTTTCTTCCAATTGAATTAAAACGAATTGTGATTGTTTCCTGGAAAAGTTTGATCAGTGACAGAAGGAGAACCTGATCGTCCACAACAGACTTGACGTGTTGGAGGAACTGAACGGACTCTTTGTGTTGTTGATCGATGGATCGATTGATTGTGAAGAGATGTGAACTCATATAAACTGAGACTTCGTCCAGTCAGAACTCACCAGCAACCGAAGCACTCTCTTCCTGTGCTTCCTCTTCCTGACGGCTCTTTTCCAAGCTGACGGGCGCAGACGAGGACGCTGCCGGACAAGATGTTGGACGAACTCTCTGCTCGTCCTCAGCTTCAGGACGGAGATGAAACTCCTTAAATTCCTTTTTTAGTTTGTATATTTTCTTTCTTTTCTTTTTAGAACTGTCTTGTTAAAAAAAACCTAATGAGATTTTTTAAGGTTGTTCACTACATGATTATATTTAAAGGACAATTCTGCTTTTTACAGTTTCATATTTTTACACCGATATAAATTTAAAAGAACATTTTTGATACTCGGCTCAGCCAACGGATGAGGGTGAATGTGTAAAAATATAAAAACAGCAGAATTGTCCTTTATGAGCAGAACAGGTGTGAGTCTGAACTGAGACGCAGGGATGGGGGGGGG